TTGAAACACTACATCTTATTCATTCAAATAACAAATAATCTGACGACAAATAAAAAAATAAGAACAAACTTTTAAAAAATACTGAAATTATATGGAGCCATTTCATATTTTTAAAAGCCACAAAATGTTTTAAATTACTGGTTAACACATTTGAAAATATCAGTTTTGCAGGGGTGTTTGATGACGAAAGGCCAAAGGAAATTCACCTTCAAAATAGCTTAATATTTGTCTATGAATTCATTTTTAAGCTGCTGAAAATCAGTAAAAGGAGCTGAAAGTCAACATAGATACTGCATAAAATCAGCCTACAAAAACTTGTTTTAGGAAAAAATTATTCTCAAAATCGCACAAAAGTCACAGAAAGAAGTTTGAAAGGCAACACGTAAACTGCATATCTAAATGATTCTGCTCAGTGCCAAGCAAACCACATTTCTGTTTTACTGCTGATCTGTTCGGTGCAGCTCAGTTCTGCTCATTAGGCAGTTGTCCCTCACTACAGCAGCCAGACCCACTTCATACTGGCCTTGCTAGTTCATTAGGACACTGTTCGCTCTCTTGGCTCCCGGGGTAAAACACAAACAGTGCGCGGTCTGCCGCTCTGCGCCCTAATCCAGTCATGAAACTGGGCTCTTAAACACTATTGCGGCTAAGCCTGGCCATGTGTGCCTGCGACCTGAGGGACGCGGCCCGCCAGCCTCCAGCCTTAATCTTTCCCTCGTTCTCACTCTCTCCTTCGTCCTCCACCCCGTCGCTATTTCTCCATGCCAGCGTCGCCTCCCTCTCTCCCTCTCTCCTGCCTCCTCTAATGGCATTCTTGAAGAGCTGGCCCCGCCGTGCCGCCCGCTCGCAGTCTCTTAATTAAAATGCTCCCACCGCTCTGTTTATGTGACCGATGACTGTTAAATTAAGATGCTGTCACACTGGGCCGCTACAGTGCTTTTTTATTTATTTTTTTTATTTGCGACTTCCGCCACGAGCGCTAGGCCGCGGGTCTGCGAGCTGACATGTTTTCTTTGTCTGAGGTCGGAATTTACACCATTTAAAAATACACTCCACCTCATTACAGCACTGCCCTAAGGAGGCGAGCAGTCGGCATGGGCTAATAAGGTATGTGTTATACAGAGGCTGATTTTAATAGGGTTTAATGTATGCAAAGGCTGCGCTAAAGTGACATTATACGTCTTGAACAATGCTTTCTGGGGGTGTGGGGAGCTATCGGTGGTAAATCTGCAAATCTTGTGTGTGTGTGTGTGTGTATGTGTGTGTGTGTGTGTGTGTGTGTGTGTGTGTATGTGTGTGTACTGTGGCTGTGTTACACATTGAGCCTCGCCTGGCTTCAAAACATCTGACTGTGTCGACTGAGCCTGAGTAAGTGATGGTGGGAGTTGGAACCAGAGAGAAAAATGAGGATTGATTTTCGTTTGAAAAAATATTCAAAAGAAATGTCCTGCTGATCGACGTCTTGACAATGAATATTGCAAAAGCACCCAATGCGCGATCACCATCAGTTATCATCATTACTCCCATGCCACACCCAGAAACCTCCGGTGAGGAAACTGAAGCAATAAAAAGAGGAATCCTGTCATCGTTTACTCGCCCTCTTATCGTTTCAAACCTGTGTGAGTTTCTTTCATCTGTGAAACACACAAGATGATGTTTTGACCTGTCATTAAAATACAAGTCAATAAAGACCAATAACGTAGGTCAATAACGTGTTAAAATAAAACATTAATTCTCAATACTGGAAAAATACTTAATGATCTAACGATTTGTATAGCAAATAAATTCTGTTCTTTTTACCTTTACAATTACACTGTACAAAATGCAGAGTTCCACACAATTCGATCATGTTGTCCCAGCACAATTTGATTAAACTATTAACAATTAAGAGAATTGAACATAAAACAACTAAGTTGTTCCAAAAAATCACAAGAATTGTGTTGTTTCAGCTCATTTCAAAGTAGTCATTTAAACAAGCAGCAAATATTTTTGGAGTTTATCAAATAATCCTGAAAAAAACATTTTCAAAACTTTTTTTAGCTGCAAAGATGCTACTAATGTAAGAAAAAATGCAACCCAGGCTCATTCTGAAAATGTACCTCTATATACATCTATCTGAAGACCATCAAATAATTCCCAGGAGCTACAGTTTTTTTTCGCAGTATTTGTTTTTACGAGTTCATGAGAGGCAGCTGTTTACGCTTTTTGAGATCTCAGTTCTCTCGTGTGTGCCATCTCGCCTGCTGTTCTCTCGTAAATCCACCCGAGGCTGCTGTCGACTGACTGTTTGACTGACTGAATGACTGACTGATCGACTGACCCATTGTCCCCTTCCCTAAACCCAACCAATAGTATTTTAAAAAGCACCCACCCACTTACTTTCCAAAACCCAACTGACAAATTTAAAAACCAATTCAGAAAAAGAAAGTCCTCGTCTGATTTTTACTACGTTTCATCACACTGCTATTTACTTTTTTTTTTTTTTTGGCTTTTGACCCGTCATTGTGGTCATCTCCTCTCTGCATCTCAAGTCCACCGACGTACATGCGAGCTGACTAGATAAACTGGTAACAGGAGGCAAACCATCCATACGGAGGTAAGCGGTCAGCTGGTAAGCATGAAAAGGAACAGCGTCATACTGCCCCGTAGCAAAAAATGAAATGCAGCCAAACATACTTCTGGCTACATAATTCACGATCTCCAGAAATGTATATAGGGCTACGTTTTCAGAATGAGCTTATGTTGAAGAAATGTTTCTTGAACACCAAATCAGTATATCAAAATGAGTTTTGTGGGACTAAAGACAAATGATGCTAAACATTCAGCGATCACATGGATAAATGAGATTCTATTTCAGTTTGTCACTATTATTACTGTTTTATTTGAATGAATGGATAAATAAAACAAGCCTTAGTGCGAGGAGGAGACAAAAACAGAAAAGAACTCTTATCCTCCCTGTACATTCAAATGAGAGTAAATGATGACAGAAGTGTCTTTTTTGGGGAGGGGGTGAACTTTCTCTTTAAGACCAACAGCAGCAGAAGAAACAAAAGCCTTTTTTGCGGGTCCTGTCTGGATTTTCCCTTTGTGTGGTGGCTCTCTGGGGTTAATGTATGTTAATGTATCATTTATAAAGGTGCTTATTAGTGTGTTGCAGACTGCTGCTTTGTAAAACAATACCGAGCCCTGCTGAGACTGTTAGTTAGAGGCAGGAGCGAGCGAGAGAGAGAAACACAGAGGCGGTCGCGTGTGCCTGCGTTCAAAAGAGCCCCCGCCAGTAATAGGCCAACCCTTGACGCGCTGCCACCTTCTCTACCTGCTGTCCCCTGCCGCTCTTTCCGGAAACTTGACGGCAGATGTTGCAGCGCTAAGCTGGCTCTGAAGTGCCTCTCTAGCTCCCCGGTCTCCCTAACAACACAGTCAAACCACATTAGATCTCTTTATTTGTGCCTCAGGCAAGTTCGGCAGTGCAGCTGTGTCCACCCTCCGCTCTACCTTTGGTGTTGGAGCCCCTCAGGCGGTAAATGGGAGAGCAGAAAGTGTTCAGGCTGTCTTGAAAAAACTACATCTGCTGACAATCCAGCAGTCTGTCTGTGGGCGGGGTGGGGGGAGGGTCCGGGAGGGGTCTCCAAGCTGAACAGATGTCTGCGACAACCTGCTTCCTTACACCTGTACGAGTCCTCGTAACCCCACGGATCCAGCGCTGAAAAATTCATGACCCCGGAGGGTTCCTGTCGGGCATCAAAGCCCCCCCTCCCTTCTCTAGCCAAGCGCACGAAGCCCACCTTGGCTCTGGAGAGGGACTCCTCAGGCTTTGATAGCTCATGCCTGCACCCAGTGCACTTGATCAAGGGCTTGACAGTCTGCACAGTCGAGCTGTGGCCTGACTGAAGTGTGCCAGGGTCCCGCTTGGAGGCTCCAGACCCTCTTCTCAGATGTATTGAGAGTTACAAAGGTTTTAACAGTTTGTTTGAAGAAAGTAAAACAGAACAAGTGGCTCAAGCGTGACTGGGATATTTCAGCTAATGGGATCACCAGCGCCGCGGATGCAGTGACGACTTCTTCAAGATGAAACAAACCCAAACAAATGCTTCAAACTGTGCCCTACTTTGAACAAAAAAATAAAAGTTGATTCTTAGGGTGCATAGACTTTTGAAGCTTGTTTACTTCAGCAGTAATTTTGTCTCTGAAGAGGGTGAACCGTTTGAATATGTTGTATAAAAATATTTGAGTTTTTTTTTACTGCATGAATGTCATTAAAAGTGACAGTAAATACATATCTAATTTTGTAAAATACTTCTATTTCAAATAAATGTGGTTCTTTGGAATGTTGCTCATGTTTTATTGTTTTTTGCTTATCAATTACAAATTATTTTATAATTTATAATTGTTTATTTATTAATTATTTTCTAAATAGTGCTCTTTTACTGTATTTGTATTAAAACAAATGTAAACCTCTTTCCAAAAAAAAAAAAAAAAAAAAACACTCCAAACTTTTCAACGGCAGTCTAATCTGCACAGGAATGAAACGGCACAATGTGCTTAGGTTTAAGGCCCTTAAAATTGTTTGTACACACATATTGCATTACAAAGGTTACAAAAAAGGAAGTGACTGCAATACAAGTTCATGACAGTCTCATCCTGTTATATTTGCAGCGGCAGGGCTTGAGGTTTATGAAACACTTTTAATGTGCATTCACAGGCGCATGTTAAGTTAAAGTGAATTGTGGGGAATTTCCATTCTGTTCCATTCCGTTTTGATGTCTTTTGTTATTATACTGAAACATTATTTTCTTTAAAACAACATATTATTTGGTAATTAGCTGTCGGCATTTGGTCAGAAATAAACAAAGACACACACCCACACAATAAATAGCCTATAAACTGAAACAATATAGCTAATTTACACTGTATTGCTTTATGTATGGCAGTATGTAAACCAATGCCATGTGTTGGCTTATTTTTTTAATATGCACTGAGGTGAACCGACAGTGGCTTACCTTATCTGCAGAAGTTGGTCGCATAACTGAAACTCGGTCATATTGCCGCCGCAAAAGAGCCCACAGTGCGTCAAGACGGCCCTACCATGAAAGAAATACCAAATTGTGGCTTTAGTTTGATTTTCATTTTTACTCATCTAAGCACAGGCATCAGACTACACACAGTGGCACTTCCTGCACATGAAGAATAAAACTCAAATTGAGGAAATGGGACAAAAGATAAAAATGATTGACCTCGATAACAACAGAAAATGACTCACTCTGATTGGTGTATACCACTTGGATTCAGATTGATGGCATGTTTGTGCAGGTGCTCTTGGCTTTTTGACCATGGGTTCTTCTGATTCCTCTTGTATTGACACTACTGCATTCTTAGCCATCTCTAGTCTTGCACCTTCCTCTGTAGACCCTTTTTCTCCCCAACGGACCTTTGAACATTCAAGAAAATATTAAAACAAATTAAATTAAATTTAGATATTTATTAATTCATTTTCTTTTCGGCTTTATTAATCAGGGGTCGCCACAGAGGAATGAACTGCCAACTTATCTAGCATATGTTTTAAGCAGCTGATGCCCTTCCAGCTGCAACTCATCACTGGGAAACACCCATACACTCTCATTCACACACATAGGCTACAGACAAGTACTTGGTAATATATACAGTAACAACATAGGTTAAGATTAGGTTTATTACTCATTTCTTAATCCTTGTCCTCACACTTTAACACTGTGCAGTTTCACAGTTTTCTTTTCACTTCGGACTTTTGTTGTAATTTGACTGTAAGTGCCCTACAAAGTAGACTCCACAGGATATTCCGCAAGGATTTTAGCTTAAAGGGAGTATATATCTTTAATTCAAATGGCATTTTAGTGTGTGATATAGTAATTGTATTTCATTTGTATTTTAATTTTTACATTTTATTCATTTACAAAGGTTTATAATGGAGTTATTTACAGAGGTAAATCCATAAATAAAGGTTTCAAAATGGAATAAAGGTTTCAAGTGCCCAGTTAGAAGGCAACGAAAAAGAAGAGAGCAGATAGCAATGCACTCTGTGTAGGGACCTGTTAATCAAAACACAATTCATGCATGAAGCTCTTTTAAAAAGCTAGTTATCTTGCCCTCTCATCCCCTATTTTTGCACTACTATTTATCATCTTCAGTTATGTTTTATTGTAACTTCTTGTTTAGTGTCATTTGTATTGTGTGTGTGTGTGTGTGTGTATATTTACATTGCACTGAGTAGTAAGATGCACTAAGGCATAATCCCAATTCTATTTTTGTACCCCTACCCCTTCCCTTTGGCGCTTGAAAGGGTGTGAATGGGGAACGGTTTTAAATTTTACCCCTAAGAAATGGGACAGCACTTCAACACCTGCACACGTCATTATATGTCATCATGAGCTCTTGCTTCACATGAGATGGACAACGGCGACTTGCCCAGTTATTTCAGTTGGGTTATTCACTGAATGCAATGATATCATGTTATCATAAAGATATAATGCGGCAATAAGATCGTAACTGTACTGTGCATTTACACCGTGGCCATATTCAATTCAATTAATCTTTATTTGTATAGCGCTTTTACATTGTAGATTGTGTCAAAGCAGCTTCACATAGAAGATTGTAGTGAATTGAAATAGTGTCAGTTCAGTTTTCAGAGTTTAGTTCAGTTCAGTTTAGTTTAGTTCAGTTCAATGTGTTTTAACATTCACTGCTGAGAGTCCAAACATTGAAGAGTAATTCCTCGATGCACAGCTCTACAAGTCCCGAACCATGCAAGCCATATATACATATTCATCAATGTAAACACACAAAAACAACATTAACAAAGCCATTCCCAGCCGCTAGACTTTTCTGACAGCGGATTCAAGTGTCATCGAGTGTCAGATGTAAAAGTATGTAGTGGAACTGCTATACAGGAGTTATTATTAGGGATCATAGAACGCAATATTTTGTCATTTTTATTTTAGTGTTTTTTTTGTTTTGTTTTTTAAGCATGACGGTAAAACACGAACGTGGTTATGAATAAATTAAAACATGTTTGTTTGTTGTTGTAAAAATGGCGACGCAGTGGGTAGCACATTTGCCTCACAGCAAGAAGGTTGCTGGGTCGCTGGTTCGATCCTCGGCTCAGTTGGCGTTTCAGTGTGGAGTTTGCATGTTCTCCCTGCATTCGCGTGGGTTTCCTCCGGGTGCTCCCGTTTCCCCCACAGTCCAAAGACATGCGGTACAGGTGAATTGGGTAAGCTAAATTGTCCGTGGTGTATCAGTGTGTGTGTGTGTGTGTGTGTGTGTGTGGATGCTTCCCAGAGATAGGTTGCGGCTGGAAGGGTATCCGCTGCGTAAAAAAACTTGCTGGATAAGTTGGCGGTTCATTCCGCTGTGGCGACCCCAGATTAATAAAGGGACTAAGCCGACAAAAAAATGAATGACTGAATGTTTGTTGTAAAAATTCATAATAATAAAAAAACACTAATTTGAGGATCTCCTGACTCCCATGTGCAGCCATGCTGTCGTTGTAGAAGGTGTATTCTGGGAAATTTTCTTACCCCTTGGTTTCGAGTGTGGTCCAGAAAAATCTCCCTTTCGAGGGGTCTCTAGCCCTTTCCCTTAGCCCTACACTTTCAAGATAAAGAGAATTTGGACACCCCAACCTCTTAACGTGAACGCGCAAAATGAGGGTTAGGGGTAAGGGGAAGAACTAAGGGGTAGAATTGGGATTGGGCCTTAATCTTATCACACATGCATATAATGTACAATGACAATAAAACACATTTTATTCTATTCTAATCTATTCTACTCTATTCTATCTAAATCAGGTGTGTTAAATAAGACACACAAAATATGCAGAGCTGTGGGGTGCAAGGACCGGGATTGAGAAACACTTGGTTAACTAAACTGATTTATTTCTCGTTTAATGTAATTTACAATAAAAAGTACAAAGTACAGAACACAACAGTAAAATTAAGTACTATTGTGGTTTTTTATTTAGCTTTTTTAACTGCTGTTGCAATTAGTCCTTGGATATTCATGCCTGACTCTTATTGAAAAGGGCTTAATTAAAACTGCGCTCATCAAGCTGTAAGTTAAGGCGCATCAATATAGAACAGCTTTTCTGAAGAGTCCCTGGAAACCCCAAACTGTCAATTAATAAAACATTCTTTGCATCCCACGATTCCCTCTATATATATCAGCATGTGTTCTAAATAAAGAGTTAGCAGGCAGGTTGATCTTAGGTACACCTCCTCCCAAGGTCCACGGAAGGCTTTAGAAATGTAGATAGGTTGTCTGGATGAATGAAAGCTTTCGACACATTAAAGAAAATTGTGCCTGGGTAAACCCTAAGCTTCTCATTTGCTTTCAAACTCAAGGGAAATCGTAGTGGAAAACGGTTTTCCAAGATTTCAGAAGGAACTTCAGTGATGTCTGCTTTATTTGGGAGCATGGAGGATGAGTGGCTGAGTGTTAAACAAACATCTAGCTTTAAGATGGATGTGGTGCCAAGTAGCACATTTCAGCTGAACAAAGTTGAATGACAGACTGGAAGTCAGCAAGATGAATTCATCTCGTCACAGCAGTTCTCAATCCTTCAGCGTCAACATGACTTAAGACAGCAGGACATCATGCGAGCTCAACTGGCAGGGCCCTGTCACGTCAAAAGCATCAGTCAGGAGCTGTGCTACATTTAAGGAGATTCTTATCAGAAACTTTAAGGTCTGCTGAGCTTGACATCACAGACGCAAAGTCTTTTGTGTGAAAAGAACAGCCAATGTTTTTGTGTGGATTAAACTAGAAGAATACACCTTTGTTTCCAAACTCATTTTCAGTGTGTGATTTTTTTTTAGGTATGGACTGCAGTGGTCAGAAACATCTACCCCTCAGCAGTTAAGTATACTTGCATTAAAAACATCTTACAATTAAAATAGAGAAAATTAGAAGTACTGCCATATCAAATTATCAACTTTTAATGAAATCGCTCCAGGGGCGATTAAAAAAAGTTATAATTATATTAGAATGCATTTAGAATAGCAATATCACTCATTCAAATTTGGAATTTCTCAGCATGCAAACAGCCAATTACAAAGAGTTAAGTATTCAGTTGTATCTTTTATGGCTTAGATGGACAATACACAATTTTGCCAAAATGTGTTGGGGAGATAAATACGGTTGATTTAAAAAAAAGTGTATCTGTATACTGGGCCTGTGCATTGATGATTGCAGCAAAAAAGAAAACTTGGTACTGAGTTACTTTTTTTTGCGTTAAAACATTTTCAGTCCAACTTATACTTGACAAATTTAAATTTTTTTCATTTATAACTTTGGGCAGATCCATTTATTATGTTTAATAGCATTATCCTGTTTTTCTAACTAGCTATATATAAGAGTTTGGCAAATTGATTACGTTGACTTGGAAAATAACCCAATTCATGACTCAAAGAACCATAATACCATCCGAAGTGTGAGTCTGTTGTTCTTTTGCATCCTTATCCACTAACCAACAAACAGCTTATACAGGGCTTCTGCAGGTTTTATTAAGTAAAATTTAGGACTTTGTAAGACACTTTTAAGACCATTATGAAAAAAATTTTAGACTTATACATGGCTAAACAGTAAGAGTTATTTCTAGTATTCTTAGTGACACTTTAATGTGTCAAAATAAAAATAAAAAATGTAGTTGTATGCATTTTTTCCACCAAAATATGTCCTTCACCCTTTTTTAAAATGACAGGTTTAACTTTGTTAAAAGTATATTTATTGTTGAGGCAATTACATAAATAATAAAATAAAACGTTTGTGATGCATTTTGAAAACAGAAGATGAGCCCCTGTTCTAATGTGCCATCTCGCTTGAGAAAATTGTTCTCAAAGACTTATTATTTGGGTATTACACATATTCTATATGCCTTCGGCATAATTCAAATGAGCCAGTTTAATGTAGATTAATCTAGATTAATTCCAAGATTACAGTGACATTAATCTAAATAAGAAAAACAATTATCTCTGTTTACCTATAATATATATATATATATATATATATATATATATATATATATATATATATATATATATATATATGAAAACTTTTCTGAAAAAAAAAAAACTAATAATAACAGTGGAAAAAAGTCTGGTAATAAATATAGTAGAAATAAATTGTTTTCCTACATGTGACCTCACTCAAGTCACTCCACTACATGCATGTCCACTCCTCATTTTCCATTTGTGCTTCCCTCTCACCTCAAAATCACCATTGAGAGAAAGCCAAAGAAAAAAACGGATGGTCCAACTTTCCAACAGCCCACTTGCTCCATAATCCAGCCAAAATTACACAAACCCACTTGAACTCTGCACCAATAACCATTGAAAACAAACTGTTTTATGAAACACAATTGAGTAATTTTCGCTTCAAAATTAGGAAAACTGTCAAAAAGCACATTGACGAATCAATACGTGACTTAATAAACACACGAGGTGTTAATAATGTCAGGCAGGTCATGAACACTCCCCAGAGAGAGAGACAGAGAGACAGAAAGAGAGCTGTGGTGGTAGACAACTGGTAAATGCTCAAAGACAGCTGTGATGACATCAAAACCTTTGCTGTCATCAGGGGGCTGCACATCATTATAGATGTCATTAAAATGTAATGTCTCTGTGTTCACCTCCATGCGTTTGATTCCACCAGCTCCTCTTCCCCCATAGTAAGATGCATCCACAGTTGGCCACTTCTTCTTGGGTTCCGGGTCTGGCTCTAGCTTCTGAAAAAAAAAAAAAAAAAAAATACAGACACAAAATTTATCAAATTTAACCACTATATTGTCATGTGCATTTCCTGTAATGTATGTACACCACTGCTTAAGAATGTAAGGTCGGTAAGATTTATTTTTTTTATTCATGATTTATTTAACCTTTTTTACATTTTAGATTTTACAAACATATCAAACAACCCCTATAGAAGTAAATAAAAAATTAAAAGTGAATAAATAAATGAAAATAATGAAAACCCAATTGCACAACTAAATGAGGGGCAGATGTCTACATTTATGCAACAATCTCAATGTTAAAATTCGAGCAATAAAAGATTACAAACTGATGTATTAATATTGAAAAGAGCTAGCAAAGGTGATCAGTCTAGATCAGGGGTGTAAAATCTTGGTCCTGGAGGGCCGGTGTCCTGGATATTTTAGTTCCAACCCCAATGAAACACAACTAGCTAATCAAGCTCTTTCTAGGTATACTAAAAACTTCCATCTTCCAGGCAGATGTGTTGAAGGAAGTTGGAGCTAAACTATGCAAGACACTGGCCCTCCAGGACCAAGTCTAGGTCCAGGTCTAAGTCTTCCAAATTTTAACAATAGTTCTGTTATGTCTTGGAAGGGAGTATCTAATCTTCTCTAGGTTCACAAAATACAAAACCTCTTTAAGCCACCATACATGCGAAGGTGGCTGGGGGCTCTTTCAGTTTAATAAAATTACACACCTAGCAAGCAAAGTAAGAAAGGCCACAAAGTTTAAAAAGTAAGTGGGTACTGTAAAGTTATCAGGCATCACACCAAACAGGCCAATAATAGGTGATGGTGCTATAGAAGTAATGGCTGAAAAAAAGAGAAAAATGAACCCCAGAATGAGGAATGTCGAGAACATATGGGTTAAAGTGGCTAAACCCAAATGAATCGGTAAGATTTGTAAAATGTTTTAAGGGATGTCTCTTATGATTATAGAAACATATTACTTTAATTAAACACAGGTCAGGCTTAATACATTTGTGAATACCAATCTAATTCTTTCAGGCTACTGTGATGAAAAGCATTTATTTGAAACAGAATTTATTTGAAGCATAACCCAATGTTTTGTCAAATATGGACAAAATCAACATTGGTTTAATTTTTTCAGTTAAATTTAAATGCCATTTTTTAACCCAATGGTTGAGTTTGTTGATATTTTACCAAAGGTTGGGTTACAACTAGGGATGTCCCGATCAGGTTTTTTTGCACCTCGAGTCAGAGTCATTTGATTTTGAGTATCTACCGAAACACGATCCAATACTTCTATGTTACATAAAAATAAAGAGCAAAGAAACAGATCTGGTATGGTCCTTTTTTTTAAATTCACCTTATTTTAACATTCAACTGTTTCTGTTCTCATCAAGGCCATTTGCAAAGGCACTAAAAGATCTCATCAACTTTATAATATGTCCAGACAGCAGCGCAGATACTTGCACTTTCCACTTCAAGCTGCTTCTGTATTTTTGCCTGCATTTAACCAATAGCGTCTCTGCAACAAACTGATGTCATGCCGCACTAATTCCAACTCTGTGCCACTGCAAGTTAAAAAATAATGAGTGTATATATATATATATATATATATATATATATATATATATATATATATATATATATATATATATATATATATAAATATATACCACAAATAATATATATAATATAATTATTTATTTATTTATTTATTTATTTGAGTCCTGATCAGGAAGTAACATGCGATTCCGATCGAGTCTAAAACCCTGTAATGGGGCCAGATTTCCGATCACGTGATCGGATCTGGACATCCCTAGTTTCAACAACCCAGCATATTTTACAGATCAAAGCATTCTTACAGGTGGAGGTGGAGGAGGTCTTTGTGGAGGTGGGTCTTTAATAACCTGTGAAGAGAGAAAAAAAATCTAAATTAAGCAAAGTTATTTCTTTCTAAGGACTTGATACGCAACTGAACAACTGGAGCATGGCACCACGGCCACTGATTACAGGGATCTGCTTGTAAACTAACGCTGTAGGCCCCAAGTGCAAAATAAAGAAAGACCAAAAATCAACTTGTTGACAGGGGAGTCTTTGGGGGTGAGCACGGTGGTCCGTTTATCTCTTAATTAATTGGACGAGGTTCAATGCTCCCCTGCAATCCCCCAATCATAAAGTCCTGAGGAATTAATTAGCTGCAATGAAATGCAGAAGGGAAGCTTGGGCTTCACTCCAGGCTGATCCCCAGTGTAAAGGAGAGGAGCGTTAACAGGATAGCAGCGCTCTCTCTGACTGCTTATCCATCACGAGAAACACAGTCAGCAGGTGACTTCTCTCACAGACACGATGTCTTCCTCACTGGAAGTGTCCTCAGCAAACTGCTTATCAACTGACCTGACACATCTCAACCACTCTTGAACATGATGGATAAATGTGTTCGTAGACGAAAGTGAGTTTTGAGAAATGACCGAGCAGCTAAACCTATGTGACCTCGTTTGAATATACCAGTCCTATTCACTTATCACGGAGGTTAAAAGAGCAAACTACTGCAATATAATGACTACATATGTAATTTGAAAAGCTCAGCAAGCTCGAGTGTCTATAACTCTCAGAATAGGTTCCAACAATCTAGATAAAACGCCTTGGATGTGACCATGTTTCACCTGTCAAATGTAACCCCTTCTACTACGGAGGCTTTCCAAAATGGAAGCAAGCCTTGTCTCATTAAACATGAAAGATGGATACACTGCCACTGCAGGTTAAGCATTTACTAAATTAGTTTTCAGGAAAAAATGCCTTTTAATCATCACATATCATGGGTAGAACAGCTGTTTCATTCACATTAAAGCGCACTGATACCATTTCGCCATTGTTGCCATTATAATGATGGAAAATGATCAATTAGAGTTAATTAATTGCTCTTTGACTCATAAACGACTGTTGGAAAATCGAGTCGTATTCGTATTCGTGGGGCCCCGGCGTGCGATGATTAACATAACTTTGGACAGAACCTTGTGCTAAAGGATTAGCTTTTTTTTATTGAGTAATTAAAGATTAGATTTATATTTGCCAGACATATTGTGGGATAAATAAGGCATTACACAAATGACATGCTGGGCTGTTAGGTTTTCAAACTACCTGACGGACAGATGTGAAGTGGGGACAACCCTTTCAATGTGCTTCGGACGATGAAGAGCTGATAATTAAATCCAAAACGTCAGTGTACTTAGCCATCTGACACTCGCATGAGGGGCTGAGGACTAGTGGCACAGCTGTGGACTCGACCAATCACAGTCCAGCGGTGTAACGTCCCCATATGGCTTTCGGGATAATTGTCCAATTGGAGTTTATAATCTGTTCATTTCACCCCTCTGAACACACTGTTGTGGCAAGCTGTTTCCCTGGCTTAACATGATCATGGACAAGTAGCAGGTAGCATATTTGCAAATTAAAACGGTGCATTTCCATTAACATAAAATTAACCTATTTGCAGTACAACAACAAATGAATGGCCTAAGAGTGTGTTATCAAAACATAAATAAACAGATGTCTTTATCAAAAGATAATTGCGTTTTAATAGGATATAAATAAAAGTACTTTTAATAGGAAAAATCTTTAAAAAAATCTTAATTTTATGTAAGCATTCCTTTAATCCTTATATATTGTAAAAAGCTACTGACCTTATCTTTCGCGTACGAGTGGGAGCAGCCATTTCCTTTTGGCTCGAGACTTCCGGTCTTATTCACTTCCATTTATTTTTAATGTTAAAAAAGCTCGTTATGCTGATTGAAGTTGTAAACTGACATTTTTTTATTATATGATTCTGCTTTGTATTATATGATAGGCAACTGAATCGGAAGTTCTAAAACAATTGCAAAAACGAGCACACTTATTGAAAAATAAGATCAATGGAAAAAAAGGAAGAAGTCAAATTGAAAATTTTAGGTTTGTCTACATTTACTTGATTTATTATGTTTGGGTAAAATGTAATTATTTGTTTTACTCTAAAAATGTGTAATAGAAAATCCTTAAATACAAAAATAAATGTAATTCAGAGAATCTTGTAAAAAAACAAAAAACAAACAAACTATCATAACACAAATGGCCATAATAATAAATATGCTGTAAAAATTTGTATTCACCAAATATTGATTACTTAACTTATCATTAACAGTCAAAATATTGGTATTGTTTAACTTTTTTTACTACTATAATGGTGTTGCGTATGCACCCTATACTTCAACCCATACACTTGAGGTGCATTTTAATGACGCTTGAGAACTCGAACCTTGATGTTTGCAGACTGTCAGCTACAGTGCTCAGCATAATTGAGTACACCCCATTTTGAAAATTAATATTTGTATGCATTTCTAAGTGAATATAGGCAATGTATTTAGGTGCATTTAAACAAAACAGATTTAGTAAACAGATATACTTATTAAAATAATATAGTAGTCACCAAACAAGTTTAAAAATCTAAAGATAATACAATTAAATTCAAGCAAAATATTGCAAAAATAAATTACAACCTACATAATTTCAACTAAATTTTTACATATCTTTGCTTCTCTTAATTTTTCCTCCTTTTTAAAATTAAATTTAACACTTTTCTATGACGGGCGATGCGGTGACGCAGTATGTAGTGCTGTCGCCTCACAGCATGTTCTCCTGGCGTTTGCGTGGGTTTCCTCCAGGTGCTCTGATTTTTCCCACAGTCCAGACATGCAGTACAGTTGAATTGGCTAGGCTAAATTGTCTGTACTGTATGAGTGTGAATCAGTGTGTATGGATTTTTCCCAGAGATGGGTTGCAGCTGGAAGGACATTCGCTGCGTAAAACATGCGCTAAATAAGTTAGCGGTTCATTCCGCTGTGGCGACCCTAGATTAATAAAGGGACTAAGCCGAAAAGAAAATGAATGAATGAATGAGTTTTTCTATGACATTTAAATTTGGGTGTACTAGGTTTTGAGCCATTATCGTAAGTTAGTTTGTTAGATAAGCTCCAGATTTGGCTTTAGAACTGAAAATTCTAATGTATATGCACAAGTATAATGTTGTATAGCTTACTAGTAAAATAATGAATTTAAAAGATAGGTTTGTGAGAGGTCTACTTATATATGCTGAGTACTGTATATGCCTCTTCTGTTAAAGCCACAAAGGGAAATAAGATGTTTGTTTGATTGGTTTTCTGTTTTCTGTTTCGTGCAAATGTATATAATTAAATCCTATAAATAAAGTATTAAAAAAATAAATAAAAATTGGCATTGGGCTGTCTAAAATGTATTGTTTGCTGAAAATGACAAATAAATCAAATTTGGAAGAAATGTCAACAACATTTTACAGAATTAAAATCTCTTAATTTTTTTTGCATAGCCCCATTTATGTACGTGACGTAAAATTTCTGCAAATCTAAAAAAATAAATTGTTTAGCTAGATACTAATGTGTGTGTTTCAGCAGGGATGAGGTGCTTCTGTATTTCTCTGATTGCTGAAAACTGGCAAGGCTGAGTTTAAATATTAACAAAGCACACATGGCCCTTCTCTTGTGCCGGGGTCCCTGATGGAGAGGAACAGCAGCTCCTCCACCAAGACAAACAGGGCCGAGTCCAGACATGCTGCGGGGGGTTTACATTTTAATGCCTTTGTTGGTTTTCCAAAATATGCTTCCATCTCATCCTGGAATGACTCCCACCAGGTTCTCAAAGAGAGGTGGTGCATATCATTTGCTGGTGCAGTGGCGCTGATTGCTATAGTCATACTCGCCAGCTTCACTAATTCTAGACATTCTAAGTGCACCATCCATGTATAAAAGTGCGTTAGAAAGCCTGAAATGTGCTGCCTTTTTTTCTTAAAGCATAGTAAAGAGAACTTTTTGTGAAAAGTGAGAGAGAAAAAAACAACAGGAAAAGAGATTCTTCTTTTTTTTGCACTTATGAAATGCTTCAATATTTCTGGCAGCTGTTCTGGTTGCACATATCAGATGAATAGTCAGGATGTGGTCAGGTCTGTTGCTGTATATTGTGCTGCTTTAAATTATCTCGAGTTCAAAGTTCAACCACAATCTTTTCTAGCTAGCTAAATGTAAACACAGCCTAAATTTAACACCAAAAAATCAATACAGTCACAAACAATATAGACAGTTTCTATACTGCAAATGAATTATGTAAACCACAAGACAATTAAAAGAAAATGCAGAATAGGTAAATCTGACAGACTTTTAATTTGGTGGTGATTTACCTTTTTAAATTTAATACCAATGCAGATTCTGTGAGTAAAATTCTTCCACATGAAAGTACTGAAGACGTGTAAAACTTACGACAGTGCAGCATAGAGGCCAGAACCACCACATCAGAGCCAAAGCCAACAGGAGAAAAAGCACCAAGAACACAATGGCCACCACTGTGCCGTCCGACTAATGAGAGAAGGAGCATACAGTACATATGCACTTACAAAAATAATAATAGCATTAAATGTTATGTAAACAGAAAATAAAGAACAGACTATGTCAATCAAATCCATAATACAAAAGTTATTTGTATAATTTTTTTCTACATTTGAATCTGAAGTATAGAGGCTGTAGAGATATTTAAGGCTTGTTTTCCATTTGATTTCCTGTTTGACTTACACATGAAGAGGCAGTGATGATGAAAGCACTGGTGATATATGATGTTCCACTGTTCAAACTGATCAGAACCTCCATTTGCCTGTAGAAAAGTAACAAACAGGCTGATTAGGGAGGTATTTTACAGTAATTACCAGTGTTACAATTGGTTGGGTTAAAACATTTCCATAAAAAATGAAAGAAAACTAAAACTCATACTGAAATGAAATAAAATTGCTGAAACTATTGCAAAAGAGGGTGGCACAGTGGCTCAGTGGTTAGCACTATCGCTTGACAGCAAGAATGACAGGTATAAGTCTTAGCTGGGCCAGTTGGCATTTCTGTGTGGAGTTTGCAGGTTCTCCCTGTGTTCAAGTGGGTTTCCTTCGGGTGCTCCAGTTTCCCCCACAGTCCAAAGACATGCGCTATAGGTGAATTGGGTAAACAAAATTGGTTGTAGTGTATGTGTGTGAATGAGTTTCCCAGTTCTAGGTTGAAGCTGGAAGAGCATCCGCTACGTAAAACATGTGGCGACCCTTGATAAACTAAGTATTTTAAAATAAACTATTCAAACTGATCAGAAACTCTATTTGTCTGCAGGAAATGAACAAACACGTACATTGAGCCAGTATTTTAAAGTCACACTGAAAGTACTTTATACAGTACAATACCAGTATATAATACAATATATCCAGCTTCACTTGCTGCAATTTTATTTATTTATTTATTTTTTGGTAAACAAGGTTTGAGAGATTAATGTTAAAGCAGATATGGGGAAGCTAATATAGAGAAATAGTACAGCTGGGGATTATTTGGATGTAGTACTGTATGACTCATTTTCTGATTAAAAAAAAAAAAAAAAAAATATATATATATATATATATATATATATATATACATACAGTTGAAGTCAGAATTATTAGCCCCCCTAAATTATTAGTGCCCCTGTTTATTTTTTCCCCCAATTTGTGTTTAATGGAGGGAAGATTTTTTTCAACACATTTCTAAGCATAATAGTTTTAAAAACCTATTTCTAATAACTGATTTTTTTTTATCTTCACCATGATGACAGTACATAATATTTTACTAGATATTTTTCAAGACACTTCTATAAAGCTTAAAGTGACATTTAAAGGCTTAACTAGGTTAATAAGGTGAACTAGGCAGGTTAGGGTAATTAGGCAAGTTATTCTATAATGATGGTTTGTTCTGTAGACTATCGAAAAAAAAAATAGCTTAAAGGGGCTAATAATTTTGTCCCAAAAATGTTTTTTAAAAAATTAAAAACTGCTTTTATTCTAGCCGAAATAAAACAGATAAGACTTTCTCCAGAAGAAAATATATTATCAGACATACTGTGAAAATTTCCTTGCTCTGTTAAACATCATTTGGGAAATATTTAAAAAAGAAAGAAAAAATCAAAAGGGGGCTAATAATTCTGACTATATATATATATATATATATATATATATATATATATATATATATATATATATATATATATATGTAACTGGCAGTGTTAAATAATTTTCACGCAAAAAGGAATTAAAACTTAAATTATACTTAAACAAAATAGTAATTAAAAATATAAATAAAATCTACAACTTTTTTACAAAACTAACTTTAACAGAAGCAGAACAAGATAGAACTGATCCAAATGCTCACCGGTGCCATGACAATTATTTAAAGTTTAATTTCTACAGAATTTGAGCTGAATTCTCTTTTATTTACTGAGGAAGAGAGTTGAAGGTGGCTCGCAATTAAGGCACTAATGATGAACGGCATTGTAATTTCCATATGTCTATTATGCAGGAGACAATTACCATGGGGCTAATGAGAATCCTCAAGCAGGAAATCGACTGACTGAACGCCTGAGATCCCTCCCAAAATGAGAGAATATGTTAAAAAGACAGGCCACTGTCTGCAGAGCCAATGATGATGCAGACATAGCAGAGAAAGAGTTACCTACAGCAAACAACCAAGATTACACTAACGCTTTAGTCATGAATGAAGCATTCCCAATGAGACTAACTTAACTTCAAAGGCAACACTAAGTGAAAAACTAACTTTCTGCAGAATGTTTCCCATAACAACCTGAACCACACTTTAAAATCTCAAAGTGCTGAACTGTAGTTTATTCAATCCAGCTTGAACTGTCTAAATCTAAAATCTAGTCCTGAGGCTGCAGCAAGCTTGTAAAAGGGTTTTTTGCATGTTAACTAGGTCTGTGTGCTGATTCTGAATGGATGAGAGGAGAGGCTAATTTAGCTGACATACTCAATACATGCAAATGGGAGGCAGGTTGCTAATCAAGCTGGATACATGTATGTTTGGTGAACGGAGAAGAAGCGATACGCTAAATGATTTTATTTCATCGCACTTGACTTGACGCTCTAAAATTTCTCAGATCACCTTTGTTCAGAACGGTTGGCAGTTCTGGGGGAATACCTATGTGATGCTTCGTAAGAGGTGATTATATTAAATCAGTATTCCTGAAAGCTGCAATTGGAACCAAACATGTCAATCAATGAAAGCTGATTTTATTTCTCTATAGAGGCACTCTGAATCACAAACCATGATAGGATGCCAATTTTCAAACATTTTATGATAAACTCCGAAAGGCATTCCCAATATTTATATTGAAAACAGGTGAATCCCATGACAAACAAAACTGTTTCTAACTTTGACTGCCTCGTCTGGTTTTATTTTGTCTAGAAATGTAGAGAAGAAAAACATGTCACAGAAGTTCAGCAGGATGAGTCAAGCACATGGACACAAAAGTGCTCTTGGCATCACAGAAGGCCCCCCATAGCACCACAGGAGACTGAGAGTGGTGTGTGAGTTTTTCTTGTCACAAAGCACATGGTGACGGAAACTGAAAGTGACGTAGCTGAATGGCACTACAAGAGCTTTCATAATCTTAATTTTCAAATAAAAGCTAACACCCTGCATTATTGAAGTTATAACATATCAATCAGCTCTGGCAGACTTCCGCAAAAAGGCAACAAGGCCCATCTGAACTTCCAGAACATTTAAATCTTTTAGATTCAGTGTCAAGTTATGACATTGCAGAGTTTTCTTGAAATGAGGCTGTGTCTGATGCTACTGTATTATTTTAGTGCGAAATAAAAGGTGCCATAGAATGCATTTATACAATATTTTTTAAATAATTCTCTGATATCTACACAGAAACTATCTGGCTTAGATAAGTGCAGAATAAATCTCCAAAAAATGGAGCATGAATTGCCCCGCGAATAAATGTCTCTACTTTTACCTTATTTGGAAGGGCTATAAATAATAATAAGCTCTCGTTATAAACATACATGAAAAACTTCACAATATCCTATACATGTTAAACTAAAAAAAACAAAAGCATGCCTCTTTGGGTTGGAGTTAAATAAATTTATAATCTGGCTTTTCCGAATTTTGTATTATGATGAGCTGCAAACAGATGCAGTGCTGTTGCATTGACTTACTGTACACTAGAGTTAATGCCTGTTCTGTTTTCAAAATAAGAGACCCCCACACATAGGAAATACAATAAGCTGTGCAAAATTTGGGAGATAAAAAATGTTAATTATTGTAATCTCGTTAGAAAATGTTGTGGCCAATCAAACACTGCTTGGGACATGCATATTAACGAGTGGGTATTTTGTTCAAAATTTGCTTGTTTTTCAACTGGATTTTAAAACCATAACATTTACATGGTGTTTGAGATTTTTGGTACTGTATGTCATTTTCATTTACTAAACTGTTTCAAGTACTAAACTCTGTTTTTCCCTCTATGGTACCAAATGAAACGTATGTTCTAATTAGATACACTACAGGTCAAAAGTTTGGAGTTTTTTTTTTATTTATTTATTTTTTTAACGAAAATTATTCTGTTCACCAAGGTGACATTTAATAAAGGTTTAAAAAATTAAATTGTTAAATATTTATTAAAATTTTTAATTATATGCTATTTCAAATGAAATTATTACTCCAGTGATTATTGCTTTTATTACTATTAACATTAAAAATAATAATATTAAAAACAATAATATTAGTAACAATAACAACAGACTGAAGACTGGAGTAATGAAGCTAAAAATTCATTATTAATATCACTGGAATAAATTAAATGATAAACTAATTTTGGACAGTTATATTATAGTGCAATAAAATTTTACAATTTCACAATGTGTACTGTATTCTTGATGAAATAAATGCAGCCTTAATGAGCAGGATAAGCTTTTTTTTAAAAACATTTAAAAACCCCACTGACCCTAAACTTTTGATTGGTAGTGTAAATAAATTGATAATAATAATATGATATAATACAACTTTTTCTCTAAAATGAAGTAAATGTTTTCGATAAATAACCTCATTACTAATTCATCTTCAAACCATCTTTCTCCAGATTTATCCATGGTCAGTCTTAAATGAGTTTATACTAGGACTATTTTAGAGTTGTTGTGGCGGTCCCGGCTGCCCAGTACCTGTGTGACTCATCATATCCATAAACAGAAAATAGTAGCCCTAAACAGAGAGCAGTTTTTTGTACTGCTACATACAGTACTGTAGCTTTTATTTGCTTCTAGTTATGTAGCAGTTTTCTGGAACTTTTATTTTTTCATTTTTCATTTTTCACTTATAGCAAATATGTACTAAATTGATTGAAAGTGTGACATCTATATTACAAAAACAATATTGCAAACAACTGATCTAATTATTAAAAGCTGAGATTTAATAAAGTATATAGTATGGCTTACACAACATTATAATACGTTTAAATCTATTATCAACATTGATAATAATAATAAATATTTATTGAGCAACTAATCAGCAAATTCAGTAGAATCAATGATCTCTTGATGAATCTTGACATTAACGACTGTAGCAATTATGCCTAAAATTAGGCTTTGCATCACATAAATAATAATTTACAATTTAAAATGTGTTAAAATAGGATTCAGTTATTTTAAATAGTAATAAAATGCCATTCTATAACTAATTAACTAAGTGGCCTCAGCTATTAAGTATGCCTACATGACTAAGTATTTAATGTGTCACTATTTGATGTTCTGGAAAGTCCCCACAATACTACTGCAAATGAGTTCGTTGGAAGTAAAGTTAGGTGCAATTACAAATGTTAATAAAGGTGGTCCCACTTTATATAAGTTGGCCTTAACTAATATGCACCTGCACTGCAATTAATCATTTGTTACAATGTACTTTGTGCAAATACATGTTTTAGCATTGTACTTATGACAATAAATGCCTGCATGTAATTACATCTGTAATTAATTTCAGTAATTACACTGTTGACCATCCCTTACACCTTAACCCAGCAAAAAACCTACCAATACCACCAAAACTGTCCCCAACTGTATCCCACCTCATGAACACCAGAATTGTTCTGCATTACATTATGAACACAGTAAGTACATTGTAGCTAAGGACACCAAATAAAAAACAGGACCATAAATGTTAAATGCCACCATTTGAAGTGCATCTGCAATGTGCTCACAAGTATATATTCATCGTATTGTGTGAATATTTTATATCAAATAGCTAAATACAGTACATGACATACATTTTTATCTCCCCCAAACTTTAAACTACAAATAAGCTAATTGAAATTCTGATTAGCTATCTTGAAGACACTTTCCAACACTGATGAAAAGATCTAACCTAAGCAGATATGCTCTAAAAATCAAACAAACCATTTAGTACACCATTGCATTTCAGAGAGAATGACCATCTCTTTATCATCTAGCAGAGTGAGAGAGGAGGAGCTCTGGTGAAGGCAGCGCTGCCATGTTATCCGGGCGCATCTCCCACCCCCTGTGCAGATGGAACTAAAATGGCGCCCTGACAGATCAGATTGATTATTGATGAGACACGTTCCACCACTCACGCTGCAGGCAGGTGTCAGGTCTGTCCCTCAGTTATTTTTCTCACTCCGCTGTTGTTGTGAAAGCGCAGGTGAGGACATGCTGCTGCCAGACAAAAGTTCCTCACCCCCTCCAGCCAAAGGCTCGAAGGGACGGGCCGGCCAGCGCTAATGGGCAGCCTGACAGATGCCCTAGATCCTGCTCTGACGAACCAACAGCTGTCGTTGCAGATGAGACCCTGATATCTGCCACTACGTCACTGAACCGCAAAGACCCTTTGAATCCCAGAAAGACACTATTTGAAAGTCCCCGATGGCGTGTCCAGCATGGGTTGTTCAGCGTCACCCAAATACAGTACGCTTATATTTTTGATTCACAGTGAAGTACTTTCCAAGTGGCAAAGCGAGAAATGGACAGTCTTCTGAACGCAAACTGGACAGATGGTTGGGAATGGACAGAGAGCGGTGGAAAAAGGCAGAGAGAGAAATTTCTAGCACTCAGACATGTTGCAGGTGTTATGCGCTTGCCTATTGTCAGTGCACAGTGAATTATTTAAATGGGAGCGTGGAAAAGGGAATCGGTGCATCTGTCGCACATCCTTTTAAAGCCCTCCACCAGATGTGTTTACTAGCCGTTCATAGCAGCAAACTACTTAATGGGTCACAGTTGCCAGCCAAGAGTTAATTAAGCAAGCCTTTTGAATGGCGACCACGTATAAAGGATCAAACGTCCAGGGTAAGTCAGACCATAATTTCACACAAGCTGCTCACAGCTAATCCCAGATCTACACAGGGAGCTGTGTTGCTCAATTCAATAACGTAATGCAGTAGCATGACATTTTAGGCTGGTGTATCGCATGATAATTTAAGAGGTCACAATTCCTCAGCTTAAAGTACGCATTATAGGCTGTTGCTATCCGTTTCAATGATGTGAGAAACATTTAATTGACTTCAAAAACAAACATTGAAAAATGTCGATGACACTTGCTAGTTTGTGCAACATGAATACTTACTGTCCAACTGTATACAGCACTGGAGCAGGACATAGGATGTAGTCAATCTTCACTTTGGTTGGTTTTTGTTCTGCAAAATAAATCAGAGGTTTGATTGTGTTATGATCCATTGCCAAACTAGATGAGGAACCCACCTCCCCCAAGATATGTATCACAAGGCCATTTGTTATATTGTAGAAGCTTGCTAGAACTGCTGACGTGTTCATTTGAGTTAGGATACAGTGCCATTTTTTTTTCCATTGAACTTGAAAGGGATTTCTTTGTCGCATCACTGCTCAAGGCACCCGGAATTCAATGTTTATGTATTTCCTGTCTGGTTACAAAAGCAGTGAGCAAGCATGTGGACACCAGATGTGGAGTTGTCGTCTAATGAAACTGCAGCATTCAGTGACTGATAGGAACAGAACTAAAGAGCAGAGTGACTATATAACAGGCAGCTGCTTAAGAAAAACTGTACATGTGTAATGTGTGTGTACTGTTAGATAAATTCACAAAAACAGAAAAAGTGTTTAAAGAAATTAAAAAAAAAAAAAAAAAAAAAAGCTAAATTTTGCAATGGCATGAGAGTAAGTGAATGATGAGTGGTGAGTGATGATGAATGAACTTTAACTTACTGAAAAGCTTCGCCTTTGAGGGAAATGTAATGATAATGATTAAAGTAAAAAATAAATGTTATTAAATAAAGCTTTTAAATAAAAACCCTCACTATTCTCTATTTAATATTCGGTATTTATTATTTTTCATTATAATTATCATGTTTTAATTTTAAATATATAATCACAAATTAAATGACAAAATTCCTACTGAGCAAGAAAATGTCCCAGGTTTCTATTCAGCCGATTCGAATGTTATCCCTCGATTTAATGGGCATTATCAGTGGTTATCAGCTGATAGATATGAGCCAGTAGGGGCATTCTGCAACTACTAGTAGGCTCAGAAGGTTGTTCTGATTAACCAGTTGTACACACATGTCTGCGGCCAAAAGTTCACAATAATCATTGAAATTATTTATTAAATTTCCCATTAATTGTACTTTATTAACTTCTTTCCCTACCCTAACCCTAAAGCCAACCGTCACAGTTATGTCTGCCTTTTGTTAAATAAAAAGTCAAAACGTTATATTAATTATATTATCATTATAAGCATTACTTTTAAATGATCAAATCCCTGTTGGTATGCCTATGTAGCACTCTTAATAGTTTACTTATGGTTTGAAATATTATTGTTTTGTTTCTTTAGTTTTTTTCCTTATTTTGTTTTCTTTAAATATTTGTTTTCCTTTCATGTAATGATTTTTTTTATCCTTTGAAACACTTGTGTAACTCGCTGCACAATTTATATGTATCATTTTTATTCACGTCACACAATATTAGTACAAATTAATGTTTTAAGTATCACCTGTTACTAATGTTAATAAAAAAAAAGAAAAAAATATAGTTTATTAACCATGTGGATGAATGATAACAGCCTTCTGAACCTACCAGTAGGCGCTGAAGTCCCCTACTGGCCCATATCTATCAGCTGATAACCACTGATTACGCCCAATTTAATCAAATGATAACATTCAAAGCGGGTGTTCTATTTCAGAGCTTAAGCACCTTGGACTTTAGTAACCTAAAGTGACAGTTAAGCAAAAGCTTCATTGTATTGCATCCTAGGTGTGGCTAGATTGTCATTTCCTGTGATATAACAATGAGGGGCAGACACAAAGTCTCACTTATATCGTTTGATTTAACTAGTGCAGTATAATATTGTTGTAACAGATAGTTCATCAAAAATGAAAAAAAAACTGCCATCATTTACTCACCCTAAATTTGACAGCTGCAGTTAAAAGGTCTTAAAAATGTGGTTAACTCAACAGTATCTGGTTCCATCTGACATCACTGATCAGTATCAACTCTTGGTTAACCACTTTAAAATATCTTTGTTCATTAAGGTTTGGAACATCTTCAGAATGTGTACTGTAAATTATGGCAGATCTTCATTTGCTTGGCCAGAGCAGAACCGGTCCACTTAGTGTGCCTGAGTTTCCTAATGTTTTTACTCAGTTAGCAAATGGCTTTTTTTTTTTTGGCTTCCTCATGAATTTAGCTTGTACTATGTTTGCCTTTTTCATCACTGTAAGGATACTTTGTGTCACAATTACCAGCGTTCTAATTCCTACAGATCGCTGTTAAACACACAGATCACATAGGTCAGGGGTGTCCAAACTCGGTCCTACAGGGCCGGTGTCCCTGAGAGTTTATCTCCAACTTCAACACACCTGCCAGGAAGTTTCTAGTGGTAGGAGCTTGATAGGCTGGTTCAGGTGCGTTTGATTAAGGTTGGAGCGAAACTCTCCAGGACACCGGCCCTCCAGAACCGAGCTTGGACATCCCTGACATAGGACTGTAAATCTGCTGGTATATGGACTACAACTTCCAGTTATGCACCACACCACACACACACACACACCTGTTCCTGATCACGATTGATTACACTTACACTTGAGTATAACAAAATTCAGCAACTAGTGTGTGTGTGTCTGTACTGCTCTTAAAGTCCATCTAATCAGTCTTTCAGCAGCTCCACGCTGTGTGAGTGTAATCAATCATGATTGGAACAGGTGTGTGGCTGCGTCCAAAATCACCTACTACTCACTGTATTTGAATTTAAACGTACTACTTGGCCATTAGAAAACTATGTTCTACCCAGTTTGAATTGGAAAAGTATGAATGGAATTTGGACGTACTTCATACGCCATTTTGTCATGGTCGCGTGACCTACCTGCTCCAGTTGTGTCGCTTCACTCCCATTCATGAATTCTCTAGAAGAGCATCATAGGATAGCGTAGCGTGCATGTGATGCGCACTGCAGAATCTCGCCGGAAGTAGTAAGTCATCCGGGTACTTCTCGCATATTGATTTTAGAATTCTATGAATTTGTACATACTACTCGGCTTGTATACTGATTTTATTGTACTGTACAGTATGGAAGTATGCGGTTTCGGACGCAGCCTGTGTGTGTGGTGCTTGACTGGAACTTTTAATCCATACACCAGTAGATCTGTAGTCCTATGTGATATGTGTTTACCAGTGATCTGTATGGATTTGATTGCTGGTGATTGTGACACTTTGACAAATTCTTTATTGAATAAAGCCCTATTGAAACAAATGTGACATTACTTTGGAGGGAACTTTTAATAAGTTCAAAAATTGTACAGTCAATAATATATAACTATACTTACTGTAAGTAACTCCATCCACTATGAAACTGCAGATGACTCCTTCTGTTTGTCTCCCCACTGCGAACCCGTTCCCTCTCAAAACAATGTCAAAGGACTCTGTGGTATGTAAACCAGATGAGGACATAATGAGAAGCACTCCTGGGCGTTCACCCAAATCAACGTCCACACACACATACATACACACACACACACACATGCACAAAGGCAATTTCATCCACCCTGATAGCTGTAAAAGCCCTTGAAATGCTTACGGTTCACGCAGACGCTGGACGGTTCCACTGTTAGGATTTCGGTGCATGATTGCTTGAGGATCTGCATGATAAAAAAAAAATGTATTCAAATCAGTACTTGTCACTGCTGAATCACTGTATCAGCTATCACAGTGTCCGGGTCTTTAGCATTCGCGCCGGAGATGTTTGCTGTGCCAAATCAAGCTCAATGAGTCGAGCATCACATACAGTGCGGTGTGGGACAGACCCGTGTCAGCCGTTATGGGGAAATTATGCGGTGCCATTTTCCCTCTTCAGCTCTATTAGAGACCGTAGGCTGACATTATCATATAAACAGGCCTGTGAGAAGCCACCATCGCCTCTCCCCATCATCCACATAAATCAACAGAGGACAAACTATGCAAATCCCCGTACACAACAGGCAAAAAGACAACATTAACAGATAGATATGGTCTTGCGAATCGCCTGCAGCGGAGATGAGGCTTCGCACTGAAGTGGAGGACACGTATAAAATGAGCTGATTGAATATGACACCTGATAAACTCTGCTATCATTAAAGGGGAGAAGGAACACTGACTAAACGTCAGGGCTGAAAAATATTCAGGATGGTCTTCATGGGTCTTTAATGAGTTATGAGATGGCACGATAAAAGGAAGGTTCATAGCAAGACGTTTTTACTTATTTTCTCTGACAGGTATCTATACACACACAGGAATAATCTTAAAGCATTGAAACATCTATTAATCTGTAATTATCATATAGCTCTCTAGAAAACTGGATTGGCATTTCCTGCAACAAATTCTCAAACTGAAAGTGCCACAAATACTCAACTTGAATGACCTTTTGAACTTTCACCAGGGTACATAAAGGAATCAGAGATTGAAAATCAAAACTTTTTAGGACCTTTTTAAGACTCTGTATATATTTTAAGACCCCAAAACTACTTGCGGTTTCAACCAGTAACATTGCGGTTTTTTCTTTTTTAAATATTTCCCAAATGATGTTTAACAGAGCAAGGACATTTTCACAGTATGTCTGATAATAATTTTTCTTCTGGAGAAAGTCTTATTTGTTTTATTTTGGCCAGAATAAAAGCAGTATTAAATTTTTTAAACACCATTTTAAAGACAAAGTTATTAGCCCCTTTAAGCTATATATTTTTGATAGTATACAAAACAAACCACAAATCTGCCTAGTTCACCTAATTTACCTAATTAAACCTTTAAATGTCACTTTAAGCTGTATTGAAGTGTCTTGAAAAATATCTAGTGAAATATTATTTACTGTCTGCATGAGAAAAAACATTAGGAAAAAACAATTTAAAACTATTACAAAGAGGTCCTTGCACGACTAAATTAAAACAAATTAAAACTATTATGTTTAGAAATGTGTTGAAAATGTGTTTCCCTGGTTACTGCACTAAACAAAGCAGTGTGATGTCAAATCTAGCAGGTTTTTTTACTACACACCATCCCAATATTCAAAGATTAGATTCAGGTCAAATTTAGTATACCAATAGCAAATTTAATATAATGTAAAATAGCATTAAAGATGTTCTAATACTTTTTAAGGGTCTTAAATTTCTTTAAATTGTTCAATCAATTTTTAATCCTTTTTAAAACACCCCGGACACCCTGATTACCAAATACTGCTGAAAGAGCTTTTTTTCCCCCCAAGATTTAGTATTCTCCAGTATTTTGACTACACTGTAAAACCCAAAAAGTAAAGGCAACTCCATTTCCATTTGAGAAAACCGATTGCAACAAACCATTTAAGTTCAAAAACTAACAAGTACTGTGAACTTAATCCATTTGAGTAAATTAAGCAATTTAAGCACAGTAAAAAACAATAAATGAAGAAAGGTCAAAACAACTGAGTACTGTTAAACCCAATAAGTTACAGCAACTCAAACCGTTTGAAGAAACTGATTGCAACAGACCATTTGAGTAAAAAAAAATAGTCTACATGAGTACCGTGGACTTACTCCATTTAAGTTGAAGTAATGAGGTATTTAATTAACGCATTGCCTTCAACACAGAGTTCAAACCTCTTTTCAAATGAGTAGAATGGACTTTCAGTAAATTTTGACTGTTGAGTTTTACAGTGTAGTAAAAGCACCACCGAATGACACTGCCATGACTTCACTCCTAAATGCTGAAGTCTTGCCCAAGACACAGCAGAATGATACTTTTCAATTCCAATCCTTAGGGTTTCAAGTTAAATTTGTGCATTTTCCGAGCTACAAAATAATAATACACAATAGGTTTTAATTTTAGTTTAAAACTGATATCTTAGATATCTGAATATATCTGTATTTAGGCTATAATCACAATCATATATTTTATGTTTGTGTGAAAAGTGTCAGGTTTGTGATTTTTATTTCCCATAAGCTCAAGCTTTTCACAACCTAAAACATCCCGCCCCATTCAAATAAAAAGAAAAAACTTGATTAAAAACCATTTAATGCTATACTACACATATGTACCAGTGAACCTTATTATGCAAATTAATGTTCTCCGCTATAAATCAAAACATTCTTGAAATATTAAAATAGGCCTGGCTAAATCTATTCTTTAGGCTTCTGCTTTTATGTGAAATCTCTGTTAAGTCTACTTTAGGCCCGAACTGCAAAGCTGCACAGATGATCTCAAATCCTGGAAATCTGAGCAGAGAGCGACATGAGGCCAACTAGCCCAGCCTCCAAGATTACTAATCACTGGAGAATGCCTGTGTTTTGCTGGGCCTGAAAATTCATTTGGCCAAACAAACTAGCTCAATAACGAGAAGATAGGTCCTTCCTGTTTTTCATTTTACTTTTCTTGACAAAATGATAAATTACAAAGAATTCCTGTCTGTTGTCTTGCGCGACTAAAGCTGAAAAAAAAAATCCTAGAAACAGATTCCTGTGGTGACAAAACAACATAGCCATGTGCAACAACATTGACCTGTTGATAGTTTACGGATGGCAGAAAATGTTCAGAGTCTTCTTACTAAGTTTACAAAGCTAAACCACATCATCGGTAAATGCCATGAACACAAAGGGCAAACATGCTCTCAAAAATACTCAACGAGAAACAAAGCATCTTCAAGCAAATGGAAAATATCACAATTAAAATGTCAACACACCGGTGTAGGATGAAACTGCTTTGACAGTTTCACAGTGAATTTATACGAATACAAATAGGAGTCCTTTAGAATCAATTTACAACCAATTGATGCTAGAACTCTCAAAAACTATATTTTATGTATGTTGTAAAAAAATTAGGATTCATAAATATTAATAATAACTAGCTATTATTTAATTATTTATATTTAGATTTAACTTACAGTTAAATGTAGCTGATTAAATATAACAATGAATTTATCCACTCATTTAATTGTCTATTTATTTGAAAAGGTAATAAATACTTCTTGTGAAGGGAATAGTTTTAAAAGTTTGAAGTAATTTTAATAAAGCTGGCTGCAAAAAAAAAGATCTTTTACCGTTACCATCTTCTGAGAAGCAAAACAAAAACAATCCAACTAGTATTAAATGATTTAATGGTTAAAATAGTACAACAATATACGAATAACAAGAAAAGTGTAAAATACATATAACTCCCAGAACCACCAAGAATCAATAAAACACCTTTTTGATGAAAAGGGTTTAGAAACGCATAACTAATACTTGCAATTTTGGTCTCTCTACTTCATGCAAGAGTCCTAATATGTGTGGAGAAACTGATATCCCAAGGAAGTCCTCATGTTGTGTGCGTGAAGTTTGCATTGCAGATTGGAGGATCCAGAAGGCATGAAACTCTACTGTTTAAATTGCCAGAAAGAGAACAGTCTCAGAGGAGAGTCCGGTGCAAAATTAGGCTACATGATTCTCTGGGAATGACCTTCTGCAGTTCAGCCTAGATATTGGGCTGTGGTATGAATTTACGCTATTGGTCAGATTCTTAAGACATAATAATGTATTAAAATGTTGATAGAAGTTTGCGATATAGGAACTACTATCGTAGAGCGGAACATTAAAAATGCTTATTTTCCGTGGAGCAATTTATTTGAGTTTTATTTGACAGAAGAAAAAAGCCGATGCCGGTTATTAAAAAGGATTCAGTCAATGTTTTCGTTTTGTAACCTAAATTTGTAATTTAAGTGAAAAATCTTTAGTGCAAACCATTTATTCTTTTTTTTTTTAGATTATTGTTTTTCTATGTTGTTGGAAACACTGCAGGTGTGTGAACATTTGACGATAAAGCCAGGTTCTTTTGTTAATAAGTTCTGCTGTTGTTCAGACAGAAAATGTGTCAGACACAAAATTGACACGGCATTTTTTTTACTTTTAAAATCAAATGATAATTTTATATTAATCTGGGGTGTGTTTCCGAAAACCATCATTAACCAAATAAGATCACAAGTTGTGTCGTTACAAACATAGTTTGTTGATTTGGCGTTTCCTGAATCTGATGCTTGTACGATTGCATCTACACATCCAGAGCTGTAGTTAGAAGTTCCTGGTTGTTTTATTCACAGTTATCCCCCCATACCCTATTCTTTTAGAACATTCTAAAATTTTAATTAGTCATCTCTCTTAGGTATAATTTGCTTTCAAAGTTTTTTTTACAGTTCAGTTTTAGTAATCTTCATATTGACAATTGTGTTCCCTTCACAGTGCACTTTGAAAGCCTTTATGTCATTTTAATGCAGCTATGGCTTATGACGAAAGCTATAGGTAACCTATTATTTAAAAGCGGAATTTACAATATGTCTCCAAAGCTTGTGAAAACATGAATATATAGCATACGTTAATGGTTTTAATTTATAGTAGGTTATTTATAAAAAAATGTATCTGTACTGATTAAGACATGTCTGTTGGTTAGAACTTTTCTTTAGTGACTTGAATGTGTTAAATTGTAAACGTTGACTTTTAAAACAATTAAAATGAAATAAAGTAATAAGTAACAAGATCCTAGTTAATAATATCAATAATAATAAAAATTATTATTATGTAGTTTTTCTTGATTTCTTAATAAATAGCCAACTGTAAATTACAACTATTGATTATTTATATGATCGTGTTAGCTTTAATGTTTTAAA